TTTTGCTCATGTGTCTACTTCAAATCGTTGTAGTTTACCATTGAGATTTACTGTTATCTTACATATAGGGATGGACGGGTCCCGAAATTTCGGGAATTTTTCGGGAAAAAAATATTCCCGATTATCGGGACGGGATTACATTTGATTCGGGAATTTTTCGGGACGGGATTTAGTCCGATCGCCGGCGATTTTGCCGCTTCGCGAGTGCCGATGACGCCGCTATTGCGAGCGATAGGTCCGCGAACGAAGGAGACGAAGTCGTTTCGACGATTGCGCCATGACCGCGGAGTCATAACGACGATTGCGCCGTGACCGCGGAGTCATAACGACGATCGTGCCGTGACCACGGAGTCATACCGACGATCGCGCCGTGACCGGGGAGTCATACCGACGATATAGCCGTGACCGCGAGTCATACCGACGATCACCCCGTGACCGCGGAGTCATACCGACGATCGCACCGTGACCGTGAGTCATACCGACGATCGTGCCGTGACCGCGAGTCATACCGACGATCACGCATTGACCGCGGAGTCATACCGACGATCGCGCCGTGACCGTGGAGTCATACCGACGATCGCGCCGTGACCGCGAGTCATACCGACGATCACCCCGTGACCGCTGAGTCATACCGACGATCACGCAGTGACCGCGGAGTCATACCGACGATCGCGCCGTGACCGGGGAGTCATAACGACGATCGCGCCGTGAACGCGAGTCATACCGAAGATCACCCCGTGACCGCGGAGTCATACCGACGATCGCGCCGTGACCGTGAGTCATACCGACGATCACCCCGTGACCGCGGAGTCATACCGACGATCACGCAGTGACCGCGAAGTCATACCGACGATCACGCAGTGATCGCAGGGTCATACCGACGATCGCGCCGTGACCGGGGAGTCATACCGACGATCGCGCCGTGAACGCGAGTCATACCGAAGATCACCCCGTGACCGCGGAGTCATACCAACGATCGAGCCGTGACCGTGAGTCATACCGACGATCACCCCGTGACTGCGGAGTCATACCGACGATCGCGCCGTGACCGTGAGTCATACCGACGATCGCGCCGTGACCGCGAGTCATACCGACGATCACACAGTGACCGCGGAGTCATACCGACGATCGCTCCGTGACCGGGGAGTCATACCGACGATCGCGCCGTGACCGCGAGTCATACCGACGATCACCCCATGACCGCTGAGTCATATCGACGATCACGCAGTGACCGCGGAGTCATACCGACGATCACGCAGTGACCGCGGAGTCATACCGACGATCACTCAGTGACCGCGGAGTCATACCGACGATCGCGCCGTGACCGGGGAGTCATACCGACGATCACCCCGTGACCGCGGAGGCATACTGACAATCACGCCGTGATCGCGGAGTCATACCGACGAAAGGCGCCGTGACCGCGAGTCATACCGACGATCACCCTGTGGCCGCAGAGTCATACCGACGATCACCCCGTGACCGCGGAGTCATACCAACGATCACGACTTGACCGCGGAGTCATACCGACAATCACCCCGTTACCGCCGTCATTTTGACGATCGCACCGTGACCGCGAGTCACAAGTTTCTATAGGTACCTGAAAAATTGTTACCAATTTTTTGGTTTTTATAGATCAGTGCCACAAACGGTAAAGATTGATTTTGTATCTTTTTTTTGGTAACTGCAATACTCAAGACTTTCTTTTTATGCACAGAAAAAAATCCCGTTCCGTCTCGTCCCGAAAATCGGGAAGGAAATAAAAATCCCGTCCCGTCCCGTCCCGAAGTAAAAATTCAATCCCGTCCATCCCTAGTAATAATTTTGTTTTTTCTTTGTCACCAAATAATTGTTGTGACTCAAAAGGGTGGCCTGGTATTATTAGTACTGATAAATACTTACACTGGATAAGATGTAAACTTTTATTTATTGAATAACTAAAAAGTGAACTGCCTTGTATAATAATTTGTAATGAACAACTAACTTGAAGAATGTAAAAGTGTAAACAAAAGCAATAAACATCTGTCTTGACCTTTATTTGAAATGACATATGTAGTAAAGACAGATTCAGGGATATGACAGACTTACAGTTAGTACCTACTAGCTGTTACCCACGGGCTTCACCCCGTTTGACTTCATAAGTATTAATAAAACTATTGATTGGTTAAGTTAAGCTTAAACAAAACAGAATACAAACAAATAATCACACCTGATTTTAATCTTACTAATATTATAAACAAGCTGTACCCGCGGGCTTTGCCCCGTTTAACTTCATAAGTATTCGCATGGCTCATTCACGTCTTGGTTGAAGTTCGTTCGCTACGCTCACTCACCTTTAGGTTGGAGCTCGTTCGCTGCGCTCACTTGCCTTCAGGTTAGCTCGTTAGCTACGCTAACTCGCCTCCAGGTTGAAGTTCGTTCGCTACGCTCACTCACCTTTTGGTTGGAAATTAGCTGTTGTCATAAATTAAAAAAAAATAATAGTGCTGCACCCTGTTGGTAATCCTTGTAACTTTTATGCTATTGAACATCATAGAACAGAACCAACTTGTTTCATTGAAACAACTGTTAAGATTCATTAATTCCTTTTAAATATGAAAAATCATAAGATTAACATGGGGAACTACAGAGTCACTGGGGCGGAGCCCGAAAGGGTTTTTGAGATAAGAATATGCTTTAATGTTAATCGGGAATGTGAGCTATCATCATGCCAAATTTCAGCCCAATCCGTCCAGTAGTTTATGCGTGATTGAGCAACACACACACAAACTCACAAACTTTCAGATTTATAATATTAGTAAGATGTGAAAGTTTGTGTGTTTGTTTGTTTGAAGTTCAATGACACATTAACTACTGGACGGATTGGGCTGAAATTTGGCATGGTGATTGCTCACATTCCCGATTAACATATAGGCATATTCTTATCCCAAAAATCCTTTCGGGCTTTGCCCCAGTGGCTCTGTAGTTCACCGTCTTAACCTTAGGAGTGTTCATATTTAAAGGGAATTAAAGAATTTAGTCAGCTGTTTCAACTAAAAAAGTTGGTTCTATGATATGAAAAGCATTAAAAAGTTATAAGATTTAACAACAGGGTGCAGCACTATTATTTATTGCATTTATAAAAACAAATACGCCCAATTTAAAAAGAAAAATTCATAAGCAGCATAAAAAAAACTGTGATACGCAATGAGAACTAACTGTCAAAGTAGGATTGTTTACAGTTATGTTTATGTTTTTAATTTCCTAAAATTTAGTGATATTTTGTGAATTTTTGATCATTTATTTTTCTCTATTGTTTAAGTGAATTTCTAGAACAATATGGCTATGGTAGATGTGTAATACTATGGTATACTGTAAATTTAAAGAAGCAAATGTTATCAAACTGTGTTCTCCACTATTGCAAACGCAAAGCTCAAGTATAACTGCAATAAGTATTTTATACTTATATACCAACCCCGTACGAAGGACGGGTACTCTGCTAGTTAGGTAATAAATTGAAAGAATAACCAAATAAGTACAGCTGAGGTATTTTTAACATTAGGTATATAGAAAGATCCCTTTGGAAAGCAATTACTACCTTAAAGGGCAAATTATGAAATAATGGATTGTTTTGCACAAGGTTTCTCGTCATGACGAACATGTTAAGTATATGGTTTATAGGGGTGTGACTTGTAGTTTTCTCAAAAGTTCATGGGTACTTTGGGCTTTATATATAGATACACAATTTATTTTAGGCTGTACTTTGGTTTTTGTTGAGGAATGATATTGAACCAGATTACTGGAAGTTCCTGAATTATTAAGGTTTTACTATACATGGGAAGATATTTAAGATTAGGATTTTTGTGAAAAGAGATTTAGAGTTCATTTACCTTAACTGAGAAAGTTAGATTCTAGGGGCTAATTAATAGGTGTGCAAGATAAAAGCTCATAAACATAACACTGTCATATTATCCTAATATAAGACTTCTTAAAGGCCATGCCACACCGACATTCGCCACTACCGATGAGGGACGGTGGTGCGCAGGAGTTTCGAGGTGGGAGGGGCATCTAGGCAACGAAGACAAAAATAAAAAATAGAGGAAAATGCACGTATAAGCCAAATTTGGTACAGTTAGGGGAATGCTCCTTAAACAACATACTAAAAGTACTGATCGATGGGGGTGGAGCTAAGGGGGCTAGGGGGGTCTAAATGTCTTTTATTGGTAAACTAGCTGGCCCGACAAACGTCTTCCTGTCCTAATGTGGTTTTATGTCAAATGCCAGTGCATTTTCAAGATTAGCTCGTTCGCATCGCTCACTCACCTTTTGGTTGCAAATTAGCTGTTGTCATAAATTTACAAAAATAATAGTGCTGCCCCCTGTTGGTAAACCTATTAACTTTTTAATGCTATTTAACATCACAGAATCAAATTGCTTAGTTGAACCAGCTGTTAAGATTCTTTAATTCCATTTAAATATAAGTACTCATAAGGTTAACATGGGAAACTCCAGAGCCACTGGGGCGGAGCCCTCTTGACGGATGGGCTCCAAACTTCACACAAACCATCCTTGTATAATGCGTAATAATGCCTGAAAGTTTCATTACAATCTGTCAAGCGGTTTCGGAGTCCATAACGTTCAAATATATATCATATATAATAGTTCAAATATAATAGTTTGTATATATATATATATACAAACTTCCTCTTTTATAAATATAGATAGCTCAAAAACCATGGCCTTCAGCAAAACGTTTATCATATGTTATGTTATTAGTAGTGTAAATTAAGGTTCGAGGCACACCTCTGCGCATGCGTCAGACAAAACTCTACCGAAAAGGAGTTTGTAATGTTACCATAGTTTTTTTTTACCAATGTTCATGAAAACAGACTAAAGCTTTCTGTTGTGACGTTAAACTGTACTTAACTACCATGTTAACTATACCAACGACTATGTTGTTGCTTTGCTCTTGTTGATGCTTTTTAACAACTATATTATACTACAGATTATGTAGACATACTAACCGAGTATTTTACTTCAAGATATTGGCTGGTCGTTGGAATATCATCCAATTCAAAAGCATAATGTTTTTCAACGGGCAAATATTTGAACGGGTCGATTTTATACTTCACAGAGATTTTGTCATTCCACTCATTGTAGACATCTTCTATGGTAACAAGTTTTCCGGTTGGCTTTCCAGTCTTCAAGTCAATGAACTGAAAATAGAAAAGCTAGCAGCTTCCTTAACCCTTACTACATACTCAAAGATACTCCATGCAGTACAGTGGTTTAGCTCATAGGTGCAAAACTTTCAAACATAAGGTATTTAAATATTTTTTTGAATAGAACAAAAAAAAAACAAACAATTTAACCAGGCAAACATACCAAGTCTTATATTTTTGTTAGTAATAAATAAACACTTAGTAGTAAATTTGTTTTTTTAACTTAACATTGTTTACTAACGTCTACTTTGCAAAAGCTGACAGGATTAGTGGCCAGGGTAGGTTCTGCCGGGGATGCGGAATACTATCCCCCGGAAAACTACCCCCTCAGGTGAAACGTGACGTCACAAAATCTGCCAACTAACCAATATGGAAGCCGTGTCCGCGACTGGAATACTACCCCCCCTAGACAAATCATGCTATTGAATTTTAATTTTAATTCGAGTAATTCCATTGGATAATAGAAAAGTCAGGTGGTGAATATAAAACAGAATTTCGAAATGTTACAGCAAGTTTGGTTGGTTAGGTTAGGTTAGATTAGAACTGTTTGACAACTAAATTTGAGTGTCCGTGACTGGAAAACTACCCCCCCCCCCCCGGTCTCTGACGTCAATATGACGTAGGGACCTGTTTGGGGGGGTAGTTTTCCGGGGGGCAGTCTTCCGGCGACCCGTTCTGCCAATTCCAACCTACAACGACCTTTGATAATGCCCTCAAAGATTGACGCAAGGTCTTGTACATGTTATAAGATGAATCATGTAGAGTCGTTTATAACCTGATGTTTAAATGGATCTTTGTGGTGTATTTATATCTTTTTTTAAATTATATCACAGCAATTCTTATTAGTGATGTGTTGGTTGTAATTTTTATCAGTTCGGTTTTTATGTTATCGGTTTTTGGTTATTTTTGGTTTAAATAGGTTAAATTGTCATTATTTATTTATGCCACTCTAAAGATTTCATAATCAAAAATGCAATTTGAATGATGAAATAAATATTAAATTAGCATTCCTAATTATTTTCTCAAATTTTCAATCCCATGTTATGCTAGTTTTAGGGAATTTTTGTGCTGGGCAAATAATTTGAAATAGCCTAAGTCAAGAAAACAATTCAAAGAGGAGTTCGCCTTTATTACACTCACAACTGTTTAGACATAATGAAAAGTAAACGATTTTCTTGCCCATTAAATTTTTTATTTTTAATATCATACTAGGCCATATTTTGAGAGCTTATGTTAAGACATATCAAATAAACTTTGAGTAAAAAGTGAAATCTTTCAGTTATCGCATCCTCTTACGCCACAGTGCGTACTTATCATAATTTTATAGTTTTAAAACTTATTTGATTTATTTTTATGCAAAAAATGTTAAAATATTTATATTACTTTATGATTTGAGTATCGGATTATGAATGGTATTTATAATGAATACTAAGACAGCAGGGCAAAATATAACATTCATCCTTCAACCGTTATGTTTAATTAAAAGCATATTAACAGGTCATCATTAAATTTACTATTCGTACATGAATACATTCTTCCTCTTAGTTAGGTTTCTAATAGGGATGGTCAAGTCTCGAAATTTCGGGAAATTTTAAATCTCGTTACACGAGACGAGATTTCTTTTTGGCCAAGATTTTTATCGAGACGAGAATAAAAAAAAAAATTTAAATTTAAAAACGCCTGCAGAAAGTCAATGCAATACCCGCAATACAGGAGCGTGTTGTAGTTGCGTTTCCTTGCGAAGGCGTTCTTATTTAATTAATTCTTTAAATGTAAATATTACTTTAATTATTTAAATAATATTACTTTAATAACATTTGAGAAGTTTTGTTAAGTGTAAGCAGTGTGAGGAATGTTTTATTACTATAAAAAGTCAAAACAAGTAACTATTTTATAAAAATTAATATTGCTTTTATTTTATTATTTATTTTATTTTAGGATAAGTTGAACTCTATCCTAACTGATATCACTATGTTTTCTAATCGTAGGCATTTTTAATAAGTTAGGCGTGATTAATAAAAAATATTATGCTGATGTTTTTTAATAAAATATTGTAAATATTCTTGCCTATTATCATTATTTTTGTATTTAAACAGTCATCTAACAATGTTACAAAATCAGGTAAAAATTTTGAACGTGTATTTCCCGTTGTGTATGAGAAGGGAAATCCCGTCTCGATCTCGTCTCAAAATTTTATGAGAAATAAAAAATCTCGTCTCGTCTCGTCTCGAACTAAAAATCCAATCTCGTCCATCCCTAGTTTCTAATATTGCGATTCTAATTTAAGTTCTTAATTTTGTTCGCATGATGTCTTAAATAAACCTTTTAAATACTTGTTTTACACCCTATTAGATGAAGTGGTGGGAAAGTTACCAAGCTTTGATCTAAAAATCGTCTTGGGGGGATGCAAATGCCAAAGTAGGGAGAGAACAAATTTGGAAACCAGCCATTGGGAATGAGAGCCTACACCAAGAATCAAATGATAATGGATCCCGTCTGGCAAGTCTTGCACTTGCAAATGATTACAAAATTTCCAGTACAATGTTCCCCAGAAGAGACATACACAAGTACACTTGGACATCACCAAATGGTGTGACCAAAAACCAGATTGATCATGTACTTGTAGATCAACGACATAAAAGTTGCATTACAGATGTAAAGAGTATTAGAGGAGCAGAATGTGGGACTGATCACAGTCTAATCCTAGTCAAGGTAAACCAAAGAATAGCTGTTGAAAGGAGGAAGGAAGAAATACAAGAAAGACGAATAGACACCGAAAAGCTTAAGGTTAAACCGATAGCTGATGAGTTTAGAATAAAACTAGAGAATAGGTTTAAGATTCTAGAAGACTTAGATAAAGATAAGGATGTCAACAGTACCTGGAATAATTTTAAAGAAGCAGTCCTAGATTCGGCAGAAGAAGTATGTGGAAAGAAAAAGAAAAAAAGCAAAAAACCTTGGTTTGATTGTGAATGTGAACAAATGTTGGAAGAAAGGATTAGGAGGAAAAATGTATGGATGAATAGCAACAATGAAGAAGACAGGTTGATGTACAACCAGTCAAATAAGGAGACAAATAAATTCCTGAGGAGGAAAAAGCGACAATATATTAAGAGTTTGCTAGATAGGGCTGAAGAAGAAAACACAGCAAACAATGCAAAAGATTTTTACAGGAAAGTAAGATTTTTTAAAAAAGGATTCACCCCTTGTACATATGGAATAAAGAATAAGGAGGGACAACTACTAACTGAAAGTGTCAAGGTCCTTGAAAGGTGGCGCGAATATTTTGAGGAACTGCTGAATGTTGATGAAATCACCCCGACAGAAGAAGAAAATCAAAACAATGAGGACATTTACTTTTATGTTGAACCCTTTATCGAGACACCAACAAAAGAAGAAGTACAATATGCAATTAAGTCCCTGAAAAATGACAAAGCTCCTGGAAGAGATGAAATAACAGCAGATATAATAAAGAGAGGAGGAAACATAATAGTGGAAAAGCTGTGGAATTTAATTACAAAAATATGGGAACAAGAAGAAATGCCAATGGAGTGGCAGGAAGCAGTCATTATCCCTATTCATAAAAAGGGTGAGAAAGAAGTTTGTGATAACTATAGGGGAATCTCACTGCTTAGTATCCCATATAAAGTTATCTCAAAAATTATTTTAAACCGTCTAGAACAATACTCACACGAGTTGATAGGTGAGCATCAAGCGGGGTTTATGAAGAGTAGATCGACAACTGACCAAATATTTATCTTAAAAGAAATAGTAGCCAATTATTGGGAGTTCAATAAAGAATTTTATGCCTTATTTATCGACTTTCAGAAGGCTTACGACAGCATAAGAAGGGACAAATTGTGGACACAGCTAAGAAAATTCGGCATACCGAATAAAATTATAGCCTTAATTAAAATGAGTATTTCAGGATCTAAATGTTCAGTTAGAATTGATGGCCACAACTGTAACACCTTTGAAGTAAACTCTGGTGTCAGACAAGGAGATGGGCTATCACCGATCCTATTTAATGTTGCCATTGAAGAAGCTCTACAGAAGGTAGCAGAGAAGAACGTAGGAGTGAAAATAGGAACCAAAATAAACATCTTAGCCTTTGCAGATGATGTGGTTATAATCACAGAAAAACTAGAAGATCTGAAGGCCTTAACCGAAGTATTTATGAAAGAAACAGAAAAAGTAGGCCTAAAAACAAACGATTCAAAAACTAAGTACATGCACTTTTCAAGATACCTGGATAATACTGAAGAACCAATAGAAATTGATGGCCATACATTTGAAAAAGTCAACAGTTTTAAATACCTAGGAGTAATTATATCCAACCAAAATACTGATGAACTAGAAATCCAAAGCCGAATAAATTCAGCAAATAAATGTTTTCATGCTTGCAATAAATTACTTTCATCAAAATCTTTGTCCCGGAAAACAAAAATCAGGCTGTACAAAACAATAATTTGCCCAGTTCTCCTATATGGATCAGAAACCTGGAAATTAAATAAAAGAGATGAAAAGAAACTAATAGTATTCGAAAATAAAATTTTAAGGAAGATTTTTGGACCAATATTCGAGCTAGGAGAATGGAGAATAAGACACAATAGGGAATTAAGGCAACTGTATAATAGCACAGATGTAATTGGAGAAATCAAGTGCCGAAGAATCAGATGGGCTGGTCATATATTAAGAAGAGATGAAGATTGTAGACTGGGAAGAGTTTTAAAGGGAAACACTACAGGAAGACGACCCCGGGGAAGACCTAAGCAGAGGTGGTGGAAGCAAGTGCAAGAAGATTTGGAGAGAATTGGGGCAACGGAGGATGATGCGAAAGACCGGTTAACTTGGCGAAGATTTGTTGGTGCGGCCAAATATCACCTCCGATATAAATGGCCCTGGGAGTAAGAGTAAGTAAGAGTAAGTATTAAGAAAAAAACATACCAGTCTACTAAATCTCTAATATGACATTATAATGGTCCTATAATTGGTTGGTGTGTTTGGTTGCTGGTTCGGTCACAGCGGTATGGCGCGCGGGGCTTCAATGAAACTTGAGCGTGTCCTCTCCTTAATGTTAATGTTAATGTCCTTAATGTTTAATCCTCCTAGATGGCAACTTGTTGAACACATGGAAGAAGTGAAACCAAAGAAAAAAAGAAGAACAAAGAGAAATAATATCACGGTTTATGCCCTTTTAGCGAATTTCCCATATAGGGAATAAGCTATTACCGTAATACTCCGTTAGCGCGATAACTCGAGCAAAAATGATCCGATTCTGATTAAATTTGGTACAAACGTGTAAACCTACGTTTATTCTAACGAGTTTGTGAACTAGCATAATCGGACTATGGGAATGGGGGTTTATAGGGGGTTTTATGGGGTAAAAACGGGGTTTTCCCATTTTTTACCCTAAAAACAAAAAGTTTTGCAATTTCTTTTCTAACCGTTTTGTAGAGCGTAAAAAAAAGAAATAATTTAGTATATTGAAGCGCTGTTGTATGCCTAACGGTCACGGATAAAATTCAAAAATAGTGTAATTAAAAATACCTATGTCATTCTTATAGAGAAAATGAAAACTGTTGTAGTTTACTTGTTTATGGATATATATTGATAAAATTTGGCAAATTTATTGATTTCATCCTATAGATTGATGTATGGTCAAAAAACACTTTATACCTTCCCCGTAGCAGCAAACCTAAGCACTCATTAAATCTAATGTTATTAAAATTGGTAATAAATATGTCTTATTTATGGAAATATTTTAGTAAAAATGTAATCAGACAAGTTGAAATTTGCTTAGTCTGCAGGTTTGCTGCGGTGGGGGTATTTATCTATACATTATCTTCTTTTTACGAATGTCGTAATTATCTTTAAGTATATTTCTAGAGTTTTTTTTAAGAGTTATCTAATATTGTTATCTTTTCAGCTATACCGGTACAAAAAATGATTCAAGAACAAACGTTCTCACCTGTTCTCTCGGCAGCAGCTGAATAGTTCGCTCAATATCTTTCATGATAACACAGCAACTAACATGGACATTTGCAGTTGGAATCAGGACTTTCCCAAACAAGTACACTGTACCAGGCTGTTTGTATATGTCCTCATATGCATCCCAGTAGAAGAACCGGAAAACCTAAACAACATCTTTATTTTACAATACTAACTAGGAAATATATTGATAAGATGGGATATCCACTGATCCAAATTTAAGGTAGTTACCATGTCAAAGGCATGTCATGTAGCCTAGCAAAAAAATGTGTATTTTTTTCTGATTTTGAGTTAAGGAAACTTCTGAGAAATGTCTCAGTTGTCCTGTTGTTGTTAATTTTTGTTTTCTTTCAAAGTGTTGAACCCCAAAAAAGTCAAAAAACCTCAGTGGATCAACCCAAGTATGATGTGTATAAGGTGAAAAGAACACATCAAGCAAAGACTAATTATAACTTATAATAATTTGAAGAAGGAGTATAGACTAAACTGCAGGCAGCTTACAAAGTCAAACCACTTAACCCATGTTCGGTTGCTTGGGAGATCATTTGTTCAGATACCAAGACTTCAACTGCCAGGTGAGTAGCATGTCTCCAAATTTAATAGCTTCTTCCTAGACTATGTCTAAGCGGGAAGAGATGGACTTGGTACTCCAGTGGTTAGTGCAGTTCAGCTGATGAGCCAATCTCCCCACATGCAGACTTAGCTAAAATGGAGACTAGTGAAGTGTGATGATGTCACATGTGTGGTCCGTAGTATGAAAAGGTAAGGATGTAATAATATCTCTAGTTAATTCTTTAAAAGTATTACTAGCAGCATTGCCTGACCTTTATCTTTTTGTTTTATTCATTGTATGTTACATTATGTTATAAGATTTTTTCCAGCTGGCCGGAAGAAAAAATGAATCACCAGATGTTTAATAAATGGAATTGTTTATATTTTCATTCTACGTGTTTCTTTCATTAAACAAAAAGTAAAAAAAGTAAGTTAAACTAGTTATACTACTTTTTAATCAACTATTATTTCTTTGTTGTTACCTCTAATACAGTCCAGGGGTGTGTGATGCACCAAAATTCCAATTTGATTTTTGGATTTTTTCCAGTGGTCAAAAACTGATTCGATTCATGGGGGAATCAGTATTTATATACGAAAAACACCTGCAGAAAGTCACTGCAATACCCGCAATACAGCAGGCGTTGTTGTTACGTTTCCTTTGCGAAGGCGTTCTTATTTAATTAATTCTTTGCATGTAATTATTGCTTTCATTTTTATTTTATAATTTTTTTTTTTTTTTTTGACATTGCAAATGATGAAAAGTTTTATTAAGTGTGTAAGCAGTGTGAGACATGTTTTTATTACTGTAAACATAGCCAAAACAAGTCACTCCAAAATCATTCTAAAAATAACACAAGTCTGAAAATTTGATACTTGATACTAAGGCCCGGTTCACAGGAACGACAAACCTAGCAGACTAGGCTTGGACTAGGTAAGCACTAGGTAAGCACGACTGGGTAGCGGACCACAGGATCAAATGGAGCCATTCACACGAGCCTAGGACGCCGACTAGCTAGTCGTGTTCGAGCTTGATGTCCCAAAACCTAGTTGGGCCCCGCTTCCCAGTCTGTCGTGGCAACTACCCAGTCGCCCAGTCGAACTGCGTGGCAGTACATGTAGCCTTATGGGAGCATTCACACGAGCGATCGGGTAGTCGCGCTGCAGCTCGCATTCTTCCCTTTGTTCTCTTTGTCTTCGCCAGTGATGGATCCGAGTGGCATTGATATCGATATTTTCAGTTTTCACGTAGTCCGTGGACATGTCGTTTGTGTGAACTGGTGTGATCCTGTGGTCCCCTACCCAGTCGTGCTTACCTAGTCCAAGCCTAGTCTGCTAGTGCTAGGTATGTCGTTCGTGTGAACTGGGCCTTAACTGGTAAGACTGATGTTTTAGACTGAAAAACTTTGTATTTTTGTAGGTCTGAAGTTATGTATACCTTGTAGTTTCTAGGTCTGATTCTATCCTCTCATTTTCTCAGTGTAAACCAATTGAAAGTTTCAGTATCTATATTATTAAAAGGATTTGTTGGATTTATGTGTGCAGCAAATCAACCCCTAAATATTTATTTTTATAGGCATATTGGGTATCAATATAAAGCTCTTATCATCTAGATGTACCTTTTGCGGGTTTGGATGATGTACCGTGAAAGCCTTTCACCCTATAGGCTTTTAAAATTTCGTAGTTTGTGCTGAATTCTGTTGTCAATCATCTGACCTTTTTCAAGATTACATTTGTTTACATGATAACAGATGGCAATGATACAATTTTGTTTACTTTCATACAAAAATTGGGTTATCTGTAGTTGGTGATGTTTCAGTGAACTCAAGTAAAATGTTTTAATGTTATTTGTACATAAAATGAAAAGAAGATAATTACTCGTTAGATGTTGTGTTGTGATAGGATTTTGTGTTTTCATAGTATGTTATATTGATTTACCTAACCCGCCATGTTAAACTTCCCTATCCCAAGCGTTATGTATACAACTTCCTTACTTCTCGAGTGATGTAAAGTAACAAAAACTCACTCGGTGATGTAATGAAACCCATTTAAATAACATTGAGCGATTAACTTAAAAAATATACCTCTATGGAGCCAACGACGTTCAACGCTAGAAATCAGCTGTGCTCTTGAATTTTATTGTTATGTTTTAAAGAATTTTCCTAACCTAGCTTTTGTTTGTAAATGAACGTTACTGTTAGAAGATGAGTGAAATGGATAATGATTAATATTATTCATAACCTCCTGTATATTGTCGGGTCAGGTAAAATCTTGTACGTTACACGTTACGCAAGAGCGTGTTTACATCACTTAGGTAAATTATGCAACTCGCTTCCGCTCGTTGCACAACCTTCACCTGCGTGATGTAAAAACGCTCTTACTACACTTGTAAGGTAAATAGGTATTAATATTGTAATGTCATTTGTTTAAAATGTAAAGAAGAAAATAACTTACTTTAGATTTTGTGTTTTTATATTATTTTTGATTAGTACTGTATTTGTAATTTTTCTAAGATGCCTTGAAGAGATCGTGCACACAATGAAAATAATAGGGCTTGCAATGCAAATAATACGGATATTATGAGAAATAAATCTTTTCACCCTTATCAACTATATAGAAAATATATTATGGATTTTGAAGTCACAAAATTAATGCAGGTCTAAATCTTACAAATGTTTTTATTTGTTTACAATAAAACAATATAACATGCAAGGTAACATGCTTAACAATATGATTCTGCAAGTAAAAATTATGAAATAGGCAAGTAAAGCAGCTTACTGATATTTCCAGCAATGTCTTTTAATATATGATTGAAGATAAATATTTTTCACCTAAAATAAAATTCATGTATGTCATATGCATGAATAGGCCTAATACCGCATCAACAAAAATTTGCATAACACAAATGTGGTGAATTTTAATTATTGTTATTTCACACCATTTACAAGTATGAACAGAAAAATGCCTTATTACTTCAAATTGATGCAACTGGATTCAAATCGGAAATCTTTTGAGGAAATCTTTTGAATCAAATCGTTGCTTCGAATTGAAATTATATTGCTGCTTCGCACACCCCTACTGTCCACACATTATTAACATAACACCCATACAGCTTAGAACCAAACCAACAAAAAATAAATAATAAAAACAACCTCTGGGCACTCTTATTGGCTTTTCCACTTTATAAAATCAGTGATTTGTTCAACATTAAAAAAAAGTTGTAAATTTTGCCAATGTGAGGGGCTCTCGCACAATGCCTGACTTCTTCCCAGAAGAGGTTTACATCGGCTTTTGACCAGGCGCCTGAGACACGCTAGTCTCGGCGCGCGATGTCACTTTTGATGTTGACGCTACTCGGACAAATAAAAGCTCGGACAGTTGATTTAACTAAATATTATTATTATTTAAACCACTTATTTAACCACTTATTATTATTTATCTTCACTTGATAATCGATACATTTTTAAATAATTTAATAAACTCGGACAAATGAAAACTTGGACAGTTGATTTATCTAAATATTATTAGTTGTTTATCAAAACTCGGACAAATGAAACTCGGACAACTGATTTTTCTAATATTTTGTAATTTTTAACAAACTCTGACAGTTGAAAACTCGTACAAATGAGCCTCACCCTTGTAGGGCTTGTAGGCCTACTATTTAATTAAATAAAGTTGGTTTTAGTTGTAAACTTTGTCATTACTCATCCTTCCCTTTTGGTTACCACTTCATGAAAAATCCTTTGTTTGTGTAGGTTACACTAGTCTTATTCAATACAATGTTCAATTTTTTCTGAAATATGGTAAAAGGTTTCGGGCTTCATTTTACAATATTCAAAGACTCGTGCTACATAATTTCTTAGCTGTGGGAAAAGATAATGATACTCACCAAGTTCACCACTACATACATATTAATATTATGAACACCATTTTTCACTGGCTGTAACTCCACAACAGTTTCAGACGCTATCATTCATTATAAACGCTCATGCCTCATCCGACAACTCCATAACTACGAGTTACTCTGTCTTGCTTCTTAGCTAACCGCGTCAGTACCGGTGACACATTTCCTGCCTCCACTTTGGCCACCAACAACATTTCTGACTCAAGTAAATGGTGCTCTGAAAATCTGAATCGGCGTGCACTCAGGATATACCTTGATGCAATATTCTAACTAAAAAATTATAATTCATTTTACACTTTACACTTGTACTTGAACAACTCATGTTCTTTCCAAGGTTACAAACCGCTTTCTGTTTGGGCCAAAATAAATAATTCTTGATTTTTTTCAAAAACATATGTTCTACGAGATTTTGCCGATCGCGATTCGAGAATGATTCGCGTGCTAAATTTAGTTCAAATTATAATAGCATTTATATTGATATGTTACTGCTACAAAGTTTGTTTATATATGGAAACTAAAGTTTAGAATCTCCTTTTTTCAACGGTATCAAAATTATTACGCTTCTGGAGGATCATTTTCATTGCGTAAAAAGCGTTTGAAAAAATAATTTCCAAACCAACGGCGGTTGGACATCTGGCGCAGCACACATGAAACCGCCGTTTAAACAGCGGAAGGCAGTTCTAGGGTTAAAA